TAAGTGCTTTAATTTTTTTTGTTTTTATATCTTTTTATTATTTTAAAATATATAAAATGTAAATTAAAATAAATATTAACTATATAAATATATATTAAAAATATTAAAAAAATTACTGTTACAATCATTTTTTAATATTGTCAAACTAAGTTGTAGGGGCAGCAAGCAATGCATTGTGGAACTCCATAATAGGCCGTAAACATGGCAATGCAGCTACCTTAATGAAGCACAACGCATGCACACGGAATCATTCGACCTGTGGCAGTGGCACCCAAAGTCCCAATCCAAATTGTCCATTGGTCCCTAACTTTTTCAGCCTTTCTGGTTAGAGTCCAATTTTTTTCAAGATGATTTTACTCAACAAAGTAGTTGTCAAAAAAAAGTGAAAAAAATTGATTACTTTTGTAAAGATTATTAGAATTGTTAATTCTTTTTTTTTTTTTTTATAGGAAGTTATGTTAAGTAGGTCTCACATGGTAGATTGGAAAGAAAGTTTTATCCAAAAAAATGTAGAAAGAAAATTCCATAATTGTTAGATATGGGTCCAACACTCAACATGGGCCCTGTGCAGGGAGCCTATTTGTACGTATAGGGCCCAAGGTGACCCCAAAGGAAGGCACACCCGCCTAGATATACCCGTCAAGATGGTAACACGTGGATTAATCAAGTATTTACATTTGGAACCTCTTGCTTGAGATGGAGGTTATAAATACATCCATCTATCCCATGCAAGATAATAATTCTATTATGCTTATTTCTTTGCAGTTACTCCTCTAACGAGTTTCTCTCTCTAATATATTGAATGTTGTTGAGTTGAATGTCATAGTATTTTTTCAAGAAAACATTCTCGGGTTTTTTAGGTGGGGAAGCAATTAAAGAATTTAATAGTGTAGGTTCATGAAGTTGCTTGAACAATAATTAGAGAGAGAGAAAAAAAAGGAGAATGTGGGGGGGAGAGGCTTCCCCTACTCTAATTTTTTTTTCCTTTTGTAAATTTTAATATATTCAAATGAGACAAAGG